AGTGTGTTTATGAATATATTACAGAAGGTACTGTAGTTAGTGTGTTTATGAATATATTACAGAATGTACTGTAGTTAGTGTGTTTATAAATATATTACATAATGTATTGTAGTTAGTGTGTTTACGAATATATTACAGAATGTACTGTAGTTAGTGTGTTTATAAATATACTACAGAATGTACTGTAGTTAGTGTGTTTATAAATATACTACAGAATGTACTGTAGTTAGTGTGTTTATAAATATACTACAGAATGTACTGTAGTTAGTGTGTTTATAAATATATTGCAGAAGGTACTGTAGTTAGTGTTTTTACAGATATATTACGTAAGGTACTGTAGTTAGTGTGCTTATAAATATATTGCAGAATGTACTGTAGTTAGTGTGTTTATAAATATATTACAGAATGTACTGTAGTTAGTGTGTTTGAATATATTACAGAATGTACTGTAGTTAGTGTGTTTTAATATATTACAGAATGTACTGTAGGTAGTGTGTTTATAAATATATAACAGAGATACTGTAGTTAGTGTGTTTATAAATATATTGCAGAAGGTACTGTAGTTAGTGTGTTTATAAATATATAACAGAAGGTACTGTAGTTAGTGTGCTTATAAATATGTTAAAGAAGGTACTGTAGTTAGTGTGTTTATAAATATATTACAGAATTTACTGTAGTTAGTATGTTTATAAATATATTGCAGAATGTACTGTAGTTATTGTGTTTATGAATATATTACAGAATGTACTGTAGTTATTGTGTTTATGAATATATTACAGAATGTACTGTAGTTAGTGTGTTTGAATATATTACAGAATGTACTGTAGTTAGTGTGTTTGAATATATTACAGAATGTACTGTAGTTAGTGTGTTTGAATATATTACAGAATGTACTGTAGGTAGTGTGTTTATAAATATATAACAGAAGGTACTGTAGTTAGTGTGTTTATAAATATATTGCAGAAGGTACTGTAGTTAGTGTGTTTATAAATATATTGCAGAAGGTACTGTAGTTAGTGTGTTTATAAATATATTGCAGAAAGTACTGTAGTTAATCTGTTTATAAATATATAACAGAAGGTACTGTAGTTAGTGTGTTTATAAATATATAACAGAAGGTACTGTAGTTAGTGTGTTTATAAATTTATTGCAGAAGGTGCTGTAGTTAGTGTGTTTATAAATATATAACAGAAGGTACTGTAGTTAGTGTGTTTATAAATATATTACAGAATGTACTGTAGTTAGTGTGTTTATGAATATATTACAGAATGTACTGTAGTTAGTGTGTTTATGAATATATTACAGAATGTACTGTAGTTAGTGTGTTTAT